GTCCCTTAAATCCCTATATTCCCCCCAGTTTCCATTTCATTTTCCATTTTCTTTTCCATTTGATTCTCCATTATAGGGGGATAATCCCTAAACCCTAAACCCTAAACCCTAGACAGAATCTGCTCTAGAACCCTTCAAACAAATTTCATAATGGTTTACTGGGGTTTTTTAGAAGCAAGAATCAGGACAACCGCAGAAGATTGTAAGCAAAAGGAACATGGTAGCTTCACTACATAGCAGATCCCAATATAGACACCAAAATAATGTATATAGTTCATATTATAGGAACACCCCAAAAACTACCTAATTTTCGGATCCCTAAAAAAGTAACCTAATTTTGGGAACCACCAAAGAATTCCCCTAATTTTAGGAAGCACCAAATATGATCTTACTTCGGATTCGGGCTCTGGCGTGCATCAGTGTTAAGGATCTCGCTCAGGTGAGGGTACGTACGTACGGTAGGACCCTAGACCCTAAACTCAAAAACCGCATAGCTGAGCAGGTAAAGGGGCGGCCTTCGTCTGGTTGGGGGTTTTGGGCTTCGGGCTTGAGGTTTGGCGTTTTCGCGCTGCAGGGGTACTCTCAAAAGCACATCTTTTTTTGCGGGCCGTTGTTTTTGCCAGTGCTCCGTTTGGGAGTTCCATGTTTGCTTGCGGGCGTGTGATCGCAACCCCTTTTTCTCAAGCGCTTGACAGCCAAAGGCACTTCACATGAGGTGCTGGGCCCAATAGTAATAAGAGTTACAATAATAGGATATTAGTAAAAACAGTAGTAAATACCACGAATAAAAAACAGCAATAGCCAAGAGATGCCAAGGGTAAGGGCATGGGGCGCAAGGTAGGAAGAGACCAAATTTGCGCGCTACTCAACAGCTTCTGTTAACCTGCTTGTGAGGTATAACCTAAAGTCATTCAAGGGGGATTATGTAGGGGGTTAAATAGGGAATTGTTCTAGCAGTTATCATTAAGGCCCTAAACCCTAAACTCAAAGGGGATACCAGGAGTTTAGACTATAGCTAGTGTAGACCGCCCCATGAATTCGACTTTATGTGAAGCAGGCGGCCGCAGGACGCGGGAACATTGTTACCTCTGTAACACCCAGTTTAGAGTGTAGGCTTTAGGATTTAGGGTGTAGGGATTCTAAGTTTAGGGGTTCAGGAATTTAGGCGTTACCATCACGATAAGGAACAAGAAAGTGCACATTATATCCCAGAACTCACTTATCGCATCAAAAAGACCGCCAAACAAAACCACTCCTTGTCACCTGTCGAAATCAGCCATAATCTAAACTCCTAGTAGCCCGCATAATAACCCCTATACTAGTACCCTGTATAACCCTTCATATAACCCACCTGTAAGGATTTTAGATTATGACTCGAATTGTTGCAGCCCAATACTTGCTTTTCAGCCTGACCTACAGTAGATCTTGGGCCACTCCCCCACCCAATAATGGGTACCACAAAGGATTAATTGTTGGTAATTACTGTAGGGTGGATTGATCTACAGTAGATCATTATTGAGGTCGTAACATCTAAACCGGTTCATGGTCTTGAATGACATGAAACGGCTTCCAACAATTAGCTAGACAGCATAAACTCTAAATCCTACCCAGGCCTTAACCCATATACCCTAAATGCCCGTACCCAACATTCTACCTAAACAAACCCTAAACCCTGAACCCTGAACGGCCCCTGAACACCTAAACCCGAACCCCCTAAGGCCCCGGCACGGATCAACCGAGATGCGACCTGAAGAAGAGCGGCTCGTTGCCTCAGTTTTAGGATGCTTTTGGGGGAGGTTAATTTTTTTTGTTGGGGGGGGGCTTAGGGTTAAGGGTTTAGACTAGGATATACAGGGATTAGGGCTTATGGTTAGGGACTAGGGTTTAGGGCTTCCCAAAGGGTTCCTACAATAACCCTAGGGATCCAATGTCAGCAAATATTGCTGTCATTGGGCTTCGATCACAAAAAATGCACACATTGCCCCTTTATAGTCCAATGACGACGATTTTTGGGGTCATTCAATAAAGGGCATTTTACGGAAACAGGAGGGTCCACTACGGAAATATCCCTGCTGCGTATAGGCTCTGTGTAGGGCACTAGATCTGCCTTGCGCATTAGCCAATGGACCTTTACTTGCAAATCCCCAACCACTATCATCAAGAAATGTCTCGAGATTTGAGAATCCCAGATCCAAAATCCTCACTTCTGAACCTGCAAGCAACGCAGTTCAAGGATCAAACTTGAAATCTGTCACCCCTAGAATCTTGTGAAGTTTGCCCTACACGAATTCGAATGTATTCAGGTCCCAGGCTCCAGAGAACCTTTTACAATAGTGCCATCTCTGCAGTAGTTTAAATCAGTAATTGGATTTATGCCTCGTCAGCATTGCATTTCCTATTATAGATGTAGCCAGGGTCCCCTTTGCAATCACAATGGCCCTTGTTTGCCTCTGCTGGTCGCCTTCCAGTGCTGTGCTGCTGCAGCTGTGCCAGGGCTGCAACTTGATTGTCTTCTATAAAATTTCGGGATATCTTCGGGTTCTTATGCCACGGCGGGTACAGCTGCAGTCAGGAAACCTTCAATTGGAGGAGCCATCGGCTCAGGCATCTAAATTCTAGAAGCTCTTTACTCACTCTGATGACCAGCTTTTTCCACTGGCCGATAAAATCCTCATCTGTATAACAGTGGTAGAACCTGCAGTTCAACTTTTCTTTCACCTGGTCTTCGATGAGATGCGCCATTGCCTGATCAATAATTATATCTACGCATCTTGGGCTACTACACTAGCAGAACCCTAGAGGAACCGAAGAAAAAGAAAATAGTAGTTTCCAAAAATAGGAGCACCCCAACATAGGCCCCCACATGCTATAATGTTATTATGGTGACCCTGAATTTGGGAGACTATTGCCAAGTAGATCATCAAGGCTGCATGTGCCTTTGGTAGAAGTTTCCACCTCAGCTTGCCTTCCGAAACTCCTATTCGTGCCAAGATCTCCAGACACTTCAAAAAAGCAGTACCAGATTCGGCTATACCGCTTGCTTGCTCATCGGATAGGAATCGAGGGGCTCGCTCGCAACGATCAAACCAACAACAAATTGCAGTGCATGCTGCGTGGGCTATTCTAACTTCGAGTCCGCCATCTCGCTGTTTCAAGACACCCAGGCATCTCTCGAGGAACATGACAAATATTCGTCCATTGAACGCCTTAAGTGGCAGCAGCGGGAACGGATCACGAGTGAAGAGGCCATTGAACGGACCCTGTGAATGCTGTGCGCGATTCCCAGAAGCCCACGTTTTGAATCTGTTGTAGGTCTCAGTCAGGGCCATGTCCTCACCAACTTCCCCAAAATAGCCTGATTTGATTTGTGCAGTTGTCAACTACATTATTAGGTTCAGTGCCAAGGCTTGTATACGTTTAGGGTTATGTAGGTATGGGATGGTAAATTCACAAAAAGGTGATGCACTTAACGCCTAGAATCCCTTTTCGAGCAGCAGAGCCATCACAGAACCGTTGAAGGCCTGCAATAGCCCAAGGTTGATGACGTGCATAGAGCACCAGCGAATGGCCCCGCTAGGCCGAAAACCAGGGACCAAAATCACAGGGTTGGCTGGGTGCCTGCTGCAAATAGGGTGGATTTGGGGAATGGAATTGGGAATTAAGCACACGTGCTAGTTGAGACAGCAAAGCACTATCTCGTATTCTTATTCATGGTAGCCTTGATCACCCCTTAGGAACCCCCATAATCCCTCACGAACCTTGCCCCGTTTTTCCGCTGAGATGGCCTCATGACCTGCTGGATGATATTTTCATCGCTGCGGCGAGCGAAGCGTCTTGTCAGGCACTTGCGCCACCTAAGTTCCTAGTAGTCTAGACACGTCCCTGGAGTCTCTATAGGCCTAACGAACCATCCACTGGCCTACATCTGAACATGTCATACTTGGCCTAGTTGTGTAAAAGAGCTAGACAGAAATTGAAAGTGATCAATATCTCATAGAGTCACGAGTCTGGGCCCTCGTTTCGAGCCACACAGATATGACATATTTCCTTGCATCTCCAATTCCAGTGGGCTTTTAGGCCAAAGAAGCTTCGAGCCCATGCCCAATCACCACGAGTTTCAAGAAGGATGTGTCGTCCACCTGTTCACACGTATCTTCCGAATTTGGGTTTCAGGGGTTTATGAGGTTTACTTGTATAGTTTTCAGGTGTGCAGCTAGCCTGATATTGGGGTTCCCGGGCGGCGCCGGCCAGTTGTGTAGGGACGTCCAGAAATATCCTGCGATGGATATACACCCAGAAAGCACACGTTCAGCGACCATGTCATCACTTTCATGATCGGGCTGATGCTTTCATTGCCCAAAGATATCCACTCACGTAAAGTCCATAGTGGAAATCTCTGATCGGATTTGCCTGGAATTGCATTCATCATTATGAAAGTTGTTGCCCCAAACTTCCAATTGTACACTTATTATCAGATCCCGCACTCCATTTCCAAAAAAATAATTGAAGGCATGCTGGGTTTCCATCGCGGGTCTCCAATAGGGCGTTGAGGTGGCATAGGATGACTTTATCCCCGTATCGATTATAGCGTGCTTCATCCCCGTGCAACCCCACAGGGTTGAGCCCAGTCCCCGGGTGGGAGCGAGCCCATTCGCAATGCTGTCCTATATGCTCCCAGTACTCTGCAATGGCTGCCCGGTCGATTTGCAGCCTGCCAGTCTCCTTGAAGATAGCTATAGGACTTATTATTAATTAGGGTTTATATGAGTGGGCCGGGAGTTTTGGGCACAGTTCCTACAAGTTACGCGTAACACTCGGTGTTTCCAGAACAGTACTGCCATGACATTACGAATATGATCCCATCATATACTTGAACTGACACCACCCGAATGTGTAACAAGGATCGTAGAGAAAGTCGATCATCTCATGGGGCATGATGAAGGGAAGCCGCAACACCCCGCGTCCTCGCCGCTCACTTGGCACTTTCACTGGTATCTCGATATGATGCAAGTCCTGGATCAGGCGCATAAACTACTAAACCCTATAATTATGTAAACCCCTAAGCCTCCTCTAAATAACCCTGATCCCTAATCAGCCCGAAACCTTTGACCTTTAAACCTAAAAAAACACGAAACAAAGTATGAATTATTGAGACTAGATTCTAAGGGAAGCTTCAAGGCACGACAAATGTCCCTTTCGATATTGTTGGGGTACTTTCCAGAGGCTCCAGCGCGGGCTATCTTCCTGGTGATCTCGGATGCATGCCCTCTGGCTTCTTTAAGCATCGCCGCTGCCGCCGCTTGCAAGTGAGCAGCTGAGGTTGCCTTCATAGCTCAGAACAGTAGTCTATTCAAACTGATGAGGGCATACTAATCAAAAGAATGAGGGCATCGATCCACCCTAAACCCTAATTACCCTAAACCCTAAACCCTAAACCTCAACGAAGTCCAAGTGACCCCGGTGCCTAGCTCACAGAGGAGATAATCCGCAAAGGCGTGTTCATCTGGCGAGGGGGCATGCAAATCAGTTGCTGTATCATTTGCTGATGTACAGAGCACTGCAAACATGATCGTCCCAAACATCTGCATCCTACCAAATAACCTGTTTCTCTGCCCGAGGCATTAAACTTCAAATCCGTCGCGAACAGCGCCGCGTGGCACTGGAATGGGCCTGGGCAGGCACCAACTTCCAAAGTGGACTCACTCAGGGAGCTGCTATTTGGGGTTGTGGCCTTTTTAGGGGAGTTCCTATGCGCGCATCTTATGGGTGACCAGCTCCATATATATACATGCACATATAATGAACTAGGGTTGTGACCTTTTTTAGGAGGCTTTCTATTCGCGCATTTTATGACTCAGGTACACATGAGCTTTGATTCCCAGTTGCACTTTCCCCTGAGGCCTGATCATGAGGATTCCGATTATGTAGCAGGATTTTAAGCATGAATTGGATGCAGGCGAAGGTCATTGCGGTCTTCTACACTTTGAGTTTCGACAGTTTGAAGCACCTACTTTGGGCCTCTCGGGATGTGCCTCCCTACAAGCCCTTAGCCTGAGACCCTAAAGCCTGAGACCCTAGCCAAATCCCTAAACACTCAAGTTCTGCTATGCTTGACCCTTAAGATCCCTTACAAACCCCAATAAACGGAATTCCACAGCCAACGCTAGTGTTTCTCCTCTGGATTTCCTGCTGCGCGTGAAGTCTTAAAGCATGCCTGAGAATCCTCCCATTTACTGGGCCATGTTCCTAGGTGCACATAGCGCATGCCACACAGGGTCGAGGGATCGTCTCTTTACATCGATGGGATGGAGTCTTGAGCTAGGCACTGTGTAGGCCTTCGACCTGTAGGCTTCCCTGCAGTGTGCGCACTCACAGCCCAGCCCTACATGAGGAAAGGCATCGGAGCATCTTGCTGCAGCCACCAAAACTTAAACTGTTGAAGCTCAGGCCGAGCTTACTAGGCGGCGCCTACGACGCTGCCTTGGCCGCAGCCTTCGCTTTTCCCTTGGCCTTTGCCTTTGAGGCAGGCTGGCAATGCATTTTGCAGTGCTTGCTCTGCTCCTTGTACATTGTGTTAGTAGCAGACAGAGCGTCCGCTAGCTGCTGTAGCTTGTCACCCTTCACTCCACTGGCATAGGCATCCTGCGTGCGCATGCAACCCTAAACCCTATAAGGATTCAGAAGCAGAGTCTAGCATATTGCCCATATGTGCTCCTGCCTCCACAGCTTGGCGATCAGTTTTGAGTTTCGTGGATACCGCATCCATGTCCAAAACCAATGCTTCAATCAGGGCCGGGGCGACCTTGTTGGATGTCAGCTTGTGTCGGAAACCATTAGCCTCAAGGATGTTGGCATTCGCGACGATCATGGCCTCATTCAAGTGCACTTAAACGATCATTCAGTGGCTGTTTCAATATTAACGCTGATTCTGAATGCCCTGCTAAGCGTCGGCTTTCGCTACCTGCTCGGGGGTCTTGCTTGGAGCCTTGCCTCCATGGCCAGTCTTTGCCACAGGGGTCCCTTTAGGGTTGGCCGCTTTGGCTTTGCTGGGAGCTTTCCCTGCACGTGTTGCCTGCCCTCTGTGCACTGGGAGGCCTGCAGACGCAGCTGGAACCACAGAGCTGCCGGCACCAGCATCTGGGCCTGGTGGAGTAGGGCCATCTCCTCGCCTCTCGTAGGAAAGGCTCCGGCCATGATAGCTCTCAGCCAACTCACGCGTTGATTGCCACACCCTGTAAATACGGCGCGCCTTGGGTAACGATTTTGGGGTTCGGGGTTCATCTGTGCCCTGCATGGCCTTAAACCCTAATTATCCCTATTTATGATAATCCCTAATCCCTATAAACCTTGTTATACTCAAGGGTGTTACAAGCTGGCCTCACTTCCAGGAAAGTCAGGGTTGTCGCAGTACTGGCCCTCACGAACCTTATCAACAAATTTGAGAGCAATGACCGTGGCAGAAGCAGCCGAGATTTCTGGCCTTGTTGGCAATCAATGCATCCACATCCTCCGCGGAGTATTTCGCAAGGAGTGCCTGTACGAAAAAAATTGAGCTGCTGAGGTCAATATGGGGTTGGGGATTTCGAGTGCTTACAAGGAGAGGCTTCTCCTTGTAGCAATGGAACCAGATGGGCACCCCTGGGATCAAAGTATGTAATAATACCTAGCTACTTGGGGCGCTCAGGTCATACTCATATTAATGTGACGAACACTACCTATATTTGCATCATGTGGATCACTCCGGTTAGGTCCTGCTTGTCAAACCAGGCATGCTCACCCGTGTCTCGGCGAGAAGCCCTGGACTCCCAACGAGCAACGATCTCTGTCTCCCCCCAGTTCTCACCGGCGTTCACATACTGATGAAACAACACCTTCAGCTTGTCCTGGTTGAGGGAACCTCAGGATAAATGGAAATTGAAATAGAACTCAGAAACCTATCCCAGCCTATAATAATTAGGTTGAAGCACCGTTGGGCAGAATACATTCAGCATGGGCATCCAGCACGGCTTGGGGGCATGCCGGACCTAAGCCAAAGAATGCAGCTGTAGACGTGCATGATTCAAAAATCAAAGCCACTGAGGTATGGACTTTTGAACGAGCGGTTGAATCGCATCCGCTGCGCTCGGCGGGCACGTCGCTCCTTAGATGGCTGATTATAAGTAATAACGTCATAATCCTGACT